AACAACAAATATCGTGACGAAAACTGTTGTTTACAGATTACATATTATATATATATATATTTTATATATACTGTTTTTAATGGTCGTTGACAGGTGTGGCTTCATCCGCTCACCAATCTCCAATTCATCTGCAGTTCCTCCTCTCTTTCCCAAACCAAAAACGCAGGAACGCGCTGTGTGGCACGGCACGCACGAGTGCGTGGCGCACGCATCGCTGCGCATCGCGACGCGCGACACGCGCGCGCCTCACTTTGAACGTAGAGACGTTCCAAGCTGGCGTCCTCCAAGCCTGGCGCCTTCCGCGCCGACTCCAACCAGCGCTCCTCGGGTCGGAGCGGTATGGGATGGGGAGGGTGGGCCGCGAGGGTGGGGCGCGAGGGGTGGGTGAGCAGCTCGTTAACGAGAGGCGTACTTAAGTCAACTCACGTCGCGTGAAGTCAACTCACTGCTAGTCTCCTAGTAGAGTTCCAAACAAATGTGTTCTTGTTTCAACCCCATCCAGTGAGTATAGATGTGACAGGGGCACCCCTGTTCTCCAGTTTAAGCACCCTTCGGAACTGCTGGCAAAATGTTTTTGTATCAACAGCATCGAAATAAACCTCTATTGTGAGCCAGGTACCCTGGATGTTCCAACTTTGCAGAAGATATTATAGATAATAGCTGTTTAATTTCCCTAGGGCTCCAACCATATTCTCAGAAGGTGGTTAGCCCCCCAAAACCCACCCCAACATACCCCAACCATCTTCTCAGGAGCTAGTTGGAGCCCTAGGGTTTTTGCAGCTCATTTCGAAGATCCAGGCACAGATCACTTGTTCTGCCCACCTGGATTGATGGTGTTCAGGTATTTGTTAGCCCATCCAGGGGCTAGCCATCAGCATTCCTCGATGACCACACCCGATGGATGCGCGATCCAAACTCAAACGGCTTAACGTGAAAGAGGTTTGCTGCTTGCATCAAAGTTCTTTGTCCCTGTGGCCAGGACGAGGAACACGAAGCTCAAAATCAGACCTGCTTAGGGGGAACCGCTAGACTGAGCCACATGTTGCGTTTTCTCTTCTCCCCTCCCTTTCCTTGTCAAGAAGACACAGCAAATGCCAACAATACAAATATAGCTGAATAATTAACATATTCCTGGGAAACACTAGGAGGAAAAACTAGGCAAATACCTGGGGGGGGACAAGATACATTTACATATTGTTTAGCACCTCCTAAAATATATAAGTTACAATAATGGTTGTCCCCCCTCCCCTACAACAAATGCAAGTTACATCTCCTAGACGCCCCCCCTGAGGTTCGGTGGGCCAGGGGTGGGTGCCAGGGGGGTCTAACCACCGAACATGAGGATATGGGCCAGGAGCCCTAGGGACTAGACCTTCCGTTTCGTGACTGGCCTTCCGTTTCGGGACACTTCGCCAAGGCGCCAGGACCCCGCTCTTCCGTGGTGTGCGGCCGCTGCGGGAGCTCCTGGCGCTGGCGCTGAGGTTCTTTTTGCGATGGTCCGGTGGAGGATCCCAAACGACTTGTTTGGGACTGGCATCTTAGCCGTTCAATCAGTTGGGGTGGTTGATTTGGGGTCAATGTCGTTCAATCATACAAGTGTCTGGGTTTTTGTTAGTGCCCTGTACCCTATAGAAGTCCGGTTCGACTTCAACCCTTGTTCGTTACACTTTTGGATCATGACGTGCACCTTCTTGAAGATCCAGTACACTCTAAAAGTCCGAGGACTGCTTGATCTTATTCCAATGTGTTCCGCCGTTGAGACCCCTGAAGGGTGCAATCTGGATCTTCCAACTGCCAAAATTCTTCCTTTACCCAGACACTCCATGTATGCCATCTATGCCTACATTGACCCCCCAAACCACCACCCCAACTGATCGGCACATATGGCAGTCCCATTGGTCGTGTCTGGGCTTTGTCATCTATAAAACTGGCCAAGTTGGGCATTGACGCATCTTCCAGGTCCATGTGATCGAGTCATTGCCACTCACGAGGCAGGCAGTCCGGGGAGTCTTAGCGCGTCGCGGAGCTCGAGCGATCGCCCTAGAAATCTCGCAGGAAGCCACAACAACAACAACAACAACAACAACAACAACAACAACAACAACTACTACTACTACTACTACTACTACACCGGGTTGTGGGGTATAGTGGTTTCAGAGTAATATTCCCAAGAATCCCAAAGATATCCGTTAGGTCGGGTTCCATCCACCTTTTGGTGATTGTGCCATCTACTCTGAAAGACGAACAACCAGAACGCCATTGACCTGTGAGAGGTCCACGAATTCACGCATATGGACCACCACCCCCAACCGGCCCGTTCGCTCAGAGCGAACAGCGCTGTCCGGCGCGAACGAACTGTACCCAATCCTCGCTTGAAGGGATTGCTCAAAGGTCTCGAGGCAGTGCTCGCGCGAACCTGCGGACGGTGCTCGGTCGACCGAAGGAAGCTCCGAGACGGTGGCGCAAAACGCGGCCTGTGGTAGCTGTGCTTGGAGCGGCAAGGACTGGTCCAATCCCAGGACCGAGGTCGGTGTGGACAGGAACGCCATCTGGGACTGGCATAGGACTACCGATCAGTTGAGGTTTCAGGGGTCAATGTATATATCCCTTTAGGGCTCCAAGTACCTACGGGTCTATAAACAACCTTTTGGATGATGATGGTAGTTGTGCATTTGGAGTTACCCTAAGAATCCGGGCCCTCTAACACATAGGGTTTGGTTCGGGTCCGGACGGCATGGAGGGTCCAAGGATTGGTATCTCTTCACACCAGTGATTAAAAGCCAAGTCACTATACCCAAAGGCTCCATGGACCCTCACAGCTAGGGTTTTGACCCTCACAGCCAGGGTTTTTGGACCTCAAACATGTAGCAGTTTGAGGGTCCATGAGCCTCTGGGTATACACCATGTTCTTCCGAGGTCACTGCTGCGGTCACTCCTTCCCAGCGACCTGACCCTTGCAGCCCCGCCCGGGCAGGCGCGCCTACGGCGTGCCAGCCCCGAATCGCCGGCAGCATCGGGCGCTTCAGCGGCCCATGGCGTTGGGCCGTTGGGCGGGCGCGGACAACGAGGGAGGTGTGTGTTCTGCCCCGTATAGACCAGTGCCAGTGCCACTCGGATGGAGTACAGGTACCTAGGTGAGTACGAGGTGAGTACGTGCTTCCAGAGAATGGCATTTGGATTCAAGTTACTATACTATAACTCATCCTTTAGGTCCTACTCGGAGTCATCTGTGTTTTTTGGTATCTGGCATCCAGCCCAGTAGATTCAAGTTACCACTAAGGAAGCAGGGGCTCTTGCTCGGTCTATGGAACAACTGATTACCAGTCTAACTTATATGTAGAAGTTTTATAGTGGTAACTGGATCCCCTATACACCAGGAAGGATGCGGCTAGATCCTCTATAGGCAATTGCCAGGTTGATTGATGATCTTGGGTCTCGAAGGGCGGACTCATGGTGAAAGGAAGGACCCCCTGGGTCAGGACCCCTGTTGAGGCCCTGTTGAGCTGATGAAATCCACTTTCCACTCCACCTGAAGCTAAAAAGATATGCGCAGAACGATGGCAGGGACAATGCCCACCAAAATCCCCATCCAAATGGTCCTGCCTACAGGATCCTTGGCCCAACTGACCTCTTCGGAGTCCGAACCAAAGCCTTATCAAAGGAATCCGAGGAACCGGATTCTTAGGGTATAGTGATTTCAGGATGCTTTAGAGCATCGACATGGTTCGACTCGATGTTTGACGAACCTGGCAGGTTGACCAGAAACCGACCCCAAAAACCGAACCGGTACGCCTTTTTCCGGGTGTACCGCCCAAAGAGGTGGATCCAGGTATATGCAGTTCTGATCAGTTCTGATACATCACATTGATGTTCGACGCGAAATGACGCGGGTTCCCTGCCACCAATCCTTGGGGGGCCGTACAATCCTACGGATGGGGTCCAGACCTTCTCACCAATCCCTATGATTTGGTTCGGGACCGGTCAAGGCCTGGGAACTCACGCAGCGTCTGGGAATTAGGGTCGACGATGGTAGGAACCTTCAAGAGTCTGGACGGGCATCTCTTCCTCTGTGGGCGGGAACAAAACAGGGTGAATCACTGCACTAAAATAGATTGTCCACGATTAGCCATGATGTTCCTAAAACCACCATTGTTAGGCAAAGTATAATAAGGCCAACGGCTAGCCAATAGATTGTCTAAGAAGGATACTCTATTTGCCCAAGTTGTCCATGATCAATTTTCCCCAGTCGTAGATCCTCTGAACATATTAGGACCCTCCTGGCACCGACCCCATTCAATGCCAGGCGCACCCTCAAACCCAAATACTCCATGTGACCACCTTCCAGGTCGAGAGCTTTGTAGATCCCCCTGGCTATGTATGTTGCATCCAATCACCACCCGAAATACCTCAAGTGATTGACCATGCAAATATGGCCACTCCCAGACAGGTTGCGTCTACCAATCTGGACCCTCCAAAATACCCAATCGCAGGTCGACTGGTCCGCTTGGTCCCTCCAAACGGGATTTGAGGGTCCGACCCTCCATATGAGGTCCAGGGTCGGTCACGTCTGGGTAGAAAATATAGGATACACTGATGTGATCAACATGAACCGTGAACTACCGCGAAACAACCATGGGACGAGCACCGCCGGGGGATGGCATCGTTTTGACCCGAAAGATGGACACTCCATGAGGTTGGCATCATTTACTTCAGAACTTCTAAAACATTAAAGTGGTACCCCAGACTTCCGTTCGGCCAGTACAAGAAATCGAAACCGCCCTGGCGTTGTAGTCCAAAATCCTAAAACAGTTGGTCGCTAAGGATCGCATGAAATCACTGCTGGGCGACCCAAAATCCAGGCATCTGGTAGCCATGGGGTGTAGCTAGTAGCCATCTGAGTACTGGGACATGTGATGGTTTGGAGGTGTCAAACCTCTTGGGAACTCCTGCACCGGATCCGTCAACCAAGTGAAACCCACCCTGCGCGTGCCCACCTTCACCTACATCGAAGCCTCTTGGTCCTGCTCCAACGGTACCAGTGATGCGAACCAGCGGTTGGAGAGCAATGAATGAATGACCAAAAAAACCTTAGGGTTCCAACTCCTGAGAAGCTGCTTCGGCTGGGCAGCTATTTGTTGAGGATGTGGAATCTTGACTCAGCACGGCAGGGGTTTGGACCCTCAAAGGTTTCACTTTTGCTCACTTTGGGAAAGACATGGCAACACACTGCACGATATTGCACGATGTGTTTTTTTGGAAGGCCAGGTTTCCCTTAAAAACTTGTTTTACTTTTGACTTTGTGTGTTTGTCAAAGAGGTCAGTGTTTGCAATCGCTCCACGCCATGTGACATTGTTTCAATGTCCAATCCTCCAGTTTCAACTGGCCAACAAATCAGGGACTACAGTTGCTTGTGCCAATCAACGTGTTGCGACCAAACAACATCATCAAAGGCAATGGTCAACACACACTTAGACAAAGGATCATCCAGTGCCATAATCCATGAGGAAATGAACGCTGCAACGGAATGGTGGTTGAGTCCACGAAAACATACAATTTGGGCGGTTTCACTTGTCACTTGACTGCAGAAAACTCTCAGCGGCGACGTGGCTGCAACCAATCAAACACAGCACCACAATAACGAAAAATCACGTCACGCTTGGGCCAAGCTAGTTAATACTAAGGGTTACCGCAGGCTGCCGCAGTCTGGCCCTGTTAAGTCAGCTTGTGTTAGCTTTTGCAAGCAACCGAATGCTTGCCTCTTTCTCTCAGTATTTTTCCCATACCCCATGGTGGGTCACAAACATGGTTGAAACACATTTCTAGGTGTACTTCAGCTAAGTGGTGCTTAGACAAAAAAATGGCAAACATGTGGAGAGTTAGACGCGCAAACATGTAAACCGTTCAAGTATAGTATCGGTTAGGTTATCGGTTGATTTCCCTATCTAAACACAAATTCCGACAGCATGTTGGAGCTGCTGGACACTTGCCCTAACGTGGAATTTCCCCTGGCGCACCCGTCCCTTGCTCACATGCTTTTCTGCTTCGTTACAAACAAACCTCTCCAAACCAGTCTCCCACAGCACCATTGGCATCAACAATTTGGTTCCAAAGCCTCAACCTAAGGAAGCGTATCGTTTTGGGGTTGGCCCCTATCGGGGTTTTGATCAAGTCTGAGATAGTAAGGCAGCTCCTTACCAAACTATATGCACGGAAGTTTTGTCGGAAACTCAAATACCTGCTGACTGACTGACTGACTGACTGACTGACTCACTTCCTTTGTTTGTTTCCTACTTTGTGTCGTTTAACTTCACTTGCCTGAACTTCCCTCCTTGCTTGCCTTTTGTACTCACTTGCTTGCATAGTTCCTCATTCCTGTTGGCCTACTTACTTACTTTCTTTCTTACTTACTTACTTACCTACGTACTTACTTACTTCCTTACTTACTCACTCACTCACTAACTTACTTACTTACTGTACATACAGTACATACTTACTTACATGCTTAATTCCTTCTCTCCTTCCTTGATTCCTTCCTTCCTTCCTTACTTAACTGTTTACTTATCTACTTACTTACTTACTTACTTACTTACTTACTTACTTACTTACACTTACTTAAACTTACTTAACTTGTTTCCTGACTTGTTTACTTACTTACTTACTTACTTACTTACTTGACTAAATGCAATTTTTTACATATTTGCTTATTTACTTACTTGCTTACTTGCTTACTTACCTTACCTTACCTGTCCTTACCTTACTTACCTACCTACTTACTCAAAACCCGTTCCTGTAGAGCCCCTCAAAGTAGGCCTAGTCCGCATTTCCCGGCTGGTCATTGTCCATTGACCCCTGGGTTCTGATTCCCAACGTGTCAAAACCAAAAGCCTTGGGATACACACAAAATGAGCAGTGACGGCCTTGTTTCATTCACATCAACGTCAAAGTGCCAAAACTTTACACAATTTTCTCAAAAAATCTGAAGCAGTCAATTTGGTGTTGCCCTGCCCTATATCCACGCACAGGCCCACCAACAAAAATACAAACTCCTGCCTTTACTTGCGCCGATCCGTTCTCCTGCACAGCATGCCACCGCTGTCGAAACCAGCGTCGGCAAACGGAGGCAACAGGGATGCGAAGAAATGCAACGATGGCAAGACTGCACACCATGTCCGGTCGCCTTCCGTTCGACCACTCAAAGAGTTGGGTGGAACTGTTTGAAATGAGTAGTTTAAAACCCGGACCCACATCGTCAGAAAATAGTTCATCGCTAGTTCGCCCCCTGGCACCCATCCCAGTCTCACCGAAACAAATGGCGGATTCGAGACGAAAACGAACCGAAGCAGATCCTCCGGACCACCTGATGTGTCCGCTTCCAATCGGGTGTTGGGTATGAACGGGAAAACTAATCCTCCCACGCAAAGTCTTATTTTTTTCGATCCTAACAATCCATGGTCCCTCCATGGCAGGGGTCGGGCCCGACACCATGCAAAGGTCCGGGCCCGAACCAAGCGCTTATATTTAGGGCGTGTAACTCTTCCCTGTGTAGGTTTGCCCTTGGGCTCCTGGCCCACGATTGAACTTGCCCACACTAAAACCAAGCAAGCTTTATCCCTTTTGGTCCAAATGTTATGTAAAAAGTGTGCACTTAACATTTTCACGCCCACGACATACTTCGACAGCCAGCGTGGAAGATCTAAGAAGCCTTGCTTGGGAACCTTGAGAAACCTTGCTTGGGAAACCTCTTGTTTGGGGACTTGTTTGGGAACCCAAACCTGGAAACCTTCCAAGCGCTTGGGAACCTTGCTTCGAAACCTTGGACAGCTTCTTGTTTGGGAACCTAGATTGGAACCCAAACCTGGGAATCTTGGCAGGGCTTGGGAACCTTGATTTTGTTGAGCTTGTTTGGTAACTTTGGGAACCATGGACACCTTCTTGTTTGGGAACCTTGCCGCGTTGGAACCTTGGCAACCTTGGACACCTTCTTGTTTGGAAACCTTGCTTGGGAATGTTTGGCATGGGAGCCTTGTTCGGGAACCTTGGGGACCTTGGACATCTTCTTCCCAAGGAGCCTCGTAGCTTGTTAACCAAGATTAAGATGCGTGATTTGTGCAGGTATTGGTGCATGAACATTGAAGGCTTGGGCTTTTGTGCTTCCTTCAAGACGAATGCAATCAGTATCTGTTGAAATTCTTGAGACTTTGCTGGAGAGAGAGCGAGAGGGTGTGTGTGTGTCACACTCTGTTTCCAAGAGTTTTTACACGCAGGGGGCCGGAGCCGGGGGGTCTCCGGCCAACGAAGGTCTCCGGCCAACGAAGACACCCCCCACCTGGGTGCAAACGTACCTGCGATCAACTGTTGTCCAAGCTGTTCTACTCTCTTTTTTGCTTTCATGGTGGTTTTCATGATACGTCCCACAAACAAGGTTTCCATGCACGGCGATAATTCGGTCTGCTAAGTAATCAGTAACTAATTTTCTGCAGTCATGCATCACGAGAAACACTTTTTTCAAACACCTTCAAGTGGTCGGACGCTTCACCTTGCCGTTGAGCCATTCCTTTTCTCGGGGAATTGAGTTAACTGAAAACCCACTGCCAAAGTGTGTGCCGCTCTGCCGTCCCACTTGGGTGCAGGGTGTGATCCCCGTCACTGGGGCGCTGTTTTCATGCCGGAGTATCACCAACGGATTTTGCTGCTTTCCGCACGCGGTGGATTATCTTAACCGACTTCGTTTCACCCCTGTATTCCCAAAATCCAAGCCGCCGGGCACCACGGTTTTTACGACCGCCGGGTATACGGAATGTCAAAGCCGCCGGGCATACGGAGAATGACCCCACACAACCCCCCCACCGCCGAGTTCTCTACTCCCCACCTAATTAGGGTAACAGAGGGAAATGGTACTCGACACACTTGTGTGTCGGTGCCTTTCCCTCTGTTGTCCCTGTTCTAGTCTACTCTACCCGGGCGGTTTAAGACTAAAGTCCCGCTCCCTAACTATTGCACCTTAGTTTCTGCTCAGTATTCGGTAACTCTAGAGTGCTAAGTATTCAGACACACACATGTACACACACATGGACATACACCCCCTCCCTGCCCCCCGCTTTCTTTCTTGCGTTTTTTGTTGTTTCTTGGGCTTTCTTTCAGGCTTTTTAGGTGGTTCTTGAGGCTCGTTTCCCTGCCCCAGTCAAGGGCTAAGTATTCACCTTTTGCTACACCTATCTTTCTCTCCTGCCCTTTTAGCGCTGCTCTTTCTGTTTTTCTTTCTTTCTTTTCTAAGGCTTTTTAGGTGCCTATTTAGGTTTTTGCGCCAGAGGGCCGCAAAGCGGCTGAGTGTGTGTGTGTGTGTGTGTGTCACACTCTGTTTCCAAGAGTTTTTACACGCAGGGGGCCGGAGCCAGGTGGGGGGTCTCCGGCCAACGAAGACACCCCCCACCTGGGTGCAAACGTACCTGCTCTCTTTTTTGCTTTCATGGTGGTTTTCATAATACGTCCCCCAAACCAGGTTTCCATGCACGGCGTTAATTCGGTCTGCTAAGTAATCAGTAACTAATTTTCTGCAGCCATGCATCACGAGAAACACTTTTTTCAAACACCTTCCAGTGATCGGACGCTTCACCTTGCCGTTGAGCCATTCCTTTTCTCGGGGAATTGAGTTAACTGAAAACCCAATGTCAAAGTGTGTGTATCTGAAGGGATGCTTTTATCCAGCTAGTTTCTGAGAGGGTGAGTTAGGTCATGTTTTTTAAGTTTTCTTGTTGGAATGTTTCCAGCGAGCAACAGAGAGTGGATGGCATCGTTCCTTACTTTCTGTGTGAGAGAAGGTTTCCTGTGAGAGAGAGGGAACATGGGAACCTTGCTTGGGAACCTTGGTGCAAATAAGACCAAACAAGCAACAACCATCGCCACCAAAAAGTGTGATTCCACTGACTTAATGCGAACTTAGGAGCTGCATTTTCTACTCGCGCAACGGAAATCCTTGCGCCCGAAGGCCTTTAATATGGTCCCTGTACTCGTGCCGCTCGGAATTGTGGCACTTTTTGGCGCCACTTCCAAGAGCTTCTCGCGGTCCTCTTCTCTCACTCCGCTCGTGAATTCTCTCGGGAACACTCCTCGGGAACACGTACCTCGATGGCTTCAATCAGAAAATGAGAATCCGTCTGATCCACGTCACTTGGAAAAGCCAGAAGGGTCCATTCTCCCCAGGCCGCTCTTCATGGTAGATGCCATCAGTACAGTGGGCAAGACATCTTCCTCTCCGCCCCTCATGGCCGAAGCCAGTGACAGGTGATGTTGACGATGCCAGGAGCCAGGATGATGGTAATGGCAATTGTTGAAGAGGAGCCCGTATGGCTCACCATTGCCAGTAAGAATCATTGACATTTGTACCGTACCACTTGCGATCAATCGAGGCCACTCACTCATAGAGGCCACCTGAGCCACAGTTCAAGCAGAATTGACTCTTGGTGAAGTGCAGCGAGAGACCTGGCGCGAGAGGTAACCTCAGGCACCCAACTTGCCGGCTTCCTTTTCTTGAAGGAAACCTATAAGCTTCCCTGTAGGTGATGTCTTTGCTGCTCGCCATAAGTGATATGCTTTCTTTCTTCCACACATCCTTGAGCACTGATCTGTCATGACTTTGGGTCATGTAAAAAACTATCCTTGGTCATTACACGTCATGACATTGCTACCTTTAGACCTTCCAGCGACTCGCCAAAGATCTGAATGACTGACGCGTGACTGATGAATGATGAGCTTTGGCCGCCGCCCGTCTCCACTAGCGGACGCGGCCTACGCCGGCACAGCGCGTCTCCGACTTCGTGGACCAGTTGCATTTAAGTTAGTTGATGTTTTTGTGATGACCTTTGACTGATCCATGCATGGTTGCATTAAGTGCAACCATATATCTAGCCTTTGCCTTTGCAGCAGCCTTGAGGCCAGGCTCAGGTCTAGCCTTAGGGCTAACCTTGGGAGCTGCAGGCTCTTTTCTTCAGGGGTGTGAGCTTTTCCTGCTTACTCCGGTGGCTCTTCATGAGTCGCTGCTGGCCCAACAGTAAATACATGTAAATACAATGAATCAAACTGAGACGCGTCATGCTTTTGGGCCCGAAACATGTCAAGTTGCTGCGCTCTAGGACTCCCTTTGGCAAAGCGAATCCCAAGACAAACCGAGCACGTGCAACCAGGATTTCATTAGTCCAACTTCACGCGCAAGAAAAATGTATGATGACTTACCGACCTCATCAGCATGCCACCGCCAATAATTGTGAAGCATAAGTATAATTAATCAACTTCCTGAACCCTTGAACGTGTACTGCGTTTGGAATTTCTATCCTATTGGGCCGTTTGGAACACTTCAATGCCAATCTAAACGATTCAAGCCAAAACTGAACACTCCAAATAGCAAAACTGGATGCTTTCTTCAATGACTCCCACCAGCAAGCACATCTATGCTTGGTGCTTGATCACCTATGTACGAATCTTTGAGCCATACGAGGAGTTGATCAAGAGTTGTACGATACAATTTCATGACTTCGATTCTTTTAGTGTGTAGTACACTTCTAGCCAATTGCCACCCTAGGTACTTGTCAACCGATAGGATATGGTGAAACTTCAAGATGGCCATGTGTGGCAAGCATTCACACTAGTTTGCTCCGTCCCACGAGCTCCAGGTCAAATCTTCTCATGATGGTAGGCCACCAAATTGCAAATTTTGAAACTGCAAAGAAATCCCACTTTGTGCACTCTTGCGGGGCTTTGCGCACTTTTTGCGGATATTTGCGTGTGCTTTGCGGATATTTGCGTACGCTTCTTTTGTGGTTGTGCAGGGGAAAGTGTGAAAAAGTATGACATGTACTGAATTCATTAGTATTGAACCCACACCAAAACACATGCATATATGGCATATGGGATTTCATTTGGCAGCTCAATGACAGATCATGATGGATCTAAATAGTTATGTCAAAGAAACACTAAGTTAGGTGTCAAAATCTGTGACAGGATGGACAGGTGTAAAAAGAATGGATAAACATGGATTTACACATCTATCAGCGATTGTGTTTCTTAAGAGGTGATTGTACAATGGAGATCATGCGTATCTTAAAGCCAAGCATGGAGTGGTGAAGAATCTGCTCTTGATATATGATATTGTCCTGATCTTAGTGATTTCTTCACGTTTGGACCAACTGGGACATTCAGCCTGCTTTTCAAGATGTGCGGCTTTTTGCGTCTTTTTGCCTTCACAAACCCAACAGTTCAAAATTGGTAAACTCTTGAGGGTCCAGGCTTACTGTTTGCTTGGCAACGTTGGACACCTTCTTTGTTTGGGATCCTTGCTTGGCAACCCTGCAGGAACCCATTTTGAGGCTGCTCCGAATCTGCTCCAAACCATTTACGGCTGACTTATGCTGCTGGGGAACGTCATACACATTCCTGCAAAAGGCTGTCCAGGTTGTGTCTTTTGTGTTGTGTCTTCAGACCCAGACCATCCATATCCATCCATATATGCCATATAAAGTTACCTAATGTTGCCTATGCATATATGTTTAGAGTCAAACATGGGATAACTGTACGCAACTATTCAATGGATGGATAGTCTGGGTGAAACCACCTGGGGGCATCCTGGACATTTGTTCACTCGAGCTCCTGTCACACATCCGAGCTGAAGGTGGGGACAAATCCTCCCAAAATCACCCAACCCAGTCCAAACCGAAGACAGAGGTCAGGATAGATTAGATCCTCTAAAAATGATGTCCGGCCAACAAACTCTCCCGCCAAAAGAATGGGGAAACAAAGACCATCATGACATCCCATGCCTGACAAACTAGTGAGTTCGTACTTCCCGAGAAGTGGTCCCAACGGGGCATGCCTGCAGGACGTCCTCACCAAGAAAAGGTTTTTGAAGTTGCTACTCACTCATCCCACACTCCCAGGCCACTCGCCGGTGATCCCAGGCCACTCGCCCCAGCCTTCGAACGACCGACGATTAGTCCCAGGCAGGCCTTCTTCGGAACCAGGTCGGCCTAGCCGAAAGGGGGGTCGGTTGGTTTGGGGGACGATGGGGGGTCGGTGCAAATGAATGACCCAAACGCTCCTGAACCGCCAGGAGGGGTCCTGGGGTCTCAAATGGTTTTGAGGACCCCAGGGTTGTGAATGGAGTGCAAATGAAGAGTGGTGAAGGGGTCCAAACTGATTTGTTGAGCGTCCAGACGCTGTTTTGTGGTGTTGAGCTTGGGCGTTGTTGAGATTGACGGCTCAAAGCACCATAATGATTTAGCCTGAATCCGTAGCTGGTACAAAGTACATTTATATAAGTAAGGTATCCTTGCGAAAGCTTCAACCGTTTCGTTTTTTCCTACATCTTCACAGGTTGTTGCCATGGAGAACAGGAGTCACCCTGCTTACCGGTTGGCCTTCATTTGCTCATGGTTTTCACCACAAAAATGTCTAAACAAACACCTTTGATATCCTCTGACCCCAATCTATCCGTGTTCTCTGACTGTCTTCGTCACCAGATCAACCCATAGCCCGTTTCTTCGTCACCAGTGTCCAGTCGGTTTTTGCAATCTGCTGAATACCATTGTACCCCTTACAGGGAAACGACCATGTCATACCTTAGTCCCCCATGGGATTTCTGATTTCATGGTTTTGGGGCAGGGCTACATGCTTGTATGCGCAAGCAACCCTGCAGTGGTAGGGGAAGTTCCTCGACTCAGGTCACCGAACAGGTCGACGAACAACGCGCATTTCACCGCAGGACCAGGTCGGTCATCGGACCGACGCGCGCGCCCGGTGGAATTCGGTAAGACAAAAGCACCACGGTCGACCACCCGAGCGAGCTCGCCGCCCCGGTGGAGCGTTCAACGCCTCAGCCTGGGCGCGCTTCGCCTGTCAGGGCGAAGGGAACAATGGATGGAGGCAAAAGGCAAGAGGCGAGTGGGAAGAGTGACAAAAGAATGTTGCAGGCATAGGATTTAGTAAACTAATATGTACATATGATGTTGTAGGAATTGTTGTGGCAACCGGGAAAACATGTTAAAACCTCTGTATAATCTCTGACCAAAAGAGTCATGCAGCATGTGTTCCCTTCAACTGGTGGCAAGAAGAGCGTCTAGACAGGCCGTTTCATTGAAAGCAACAAACTGACATGCAAACAAAATTAAACAAATCCTTCCAACTACACTCTGCAGACCACCCAGTGGTTGTCAGGGTCTATGTGGTTCTCTGCAGGGTACCGGTACCTCCGTTTTTGTTTCGGTGGTTGAAACCAGTGGGTGCCAGGTTGATATGTCCGTAGCTCCGTGGCAGGATGTGGGGTTCCTGACCCCATCTAGGTCATCTTTGATACCCCTATCCCATCCATAGGCCACATATTGACCCTTATATATATATATATAACATCTACAAAACCACCAAGTCATTGATGGTCATTGTATTATAATTAACAAGTCCATTCATGGAATAGTTGCCTTATTGACCCTTTACAAGCCACCCAACTGACACACACAAATATGTCAGTTCCATGGATGTTTGATAAGAAGGTCGACTTACATAACAGCTGATTTTCAGCCTTGTGAACTCACACACACACACATGTACGCTCAAAGATGCAAGGACAACACATTCCAACCTTCTGAACATTCATTCGGCCAAGGCCACGTGTTCGTGGAAGTGGAGAGCTGGGACTTTCTTAGACTTGAGTAAGGAGAATGGAACAAACACATCACCCAGACGCTCATGGACCCTCCTAAGTAGGGGCCGGACCCTCCTAAGTAGGGGTCCGGACCCTCAAATTCCTAGGGTTTTGAGGGACCAAGAGCTGTTTGGAGTGTCTGGGCATATCCAATGATTTCCCATATCTTCCTGGGCTGGGCTTCGGCGGGTGGAGGAAAAAACAAAGCACCAGCCTCTCCCACCGTGGGTGCACGGTCAGCTGGTCCCTTCCGAGCTTTGGCCTCTGAGGATGGTGGAGAAGACGACCATCGGGAAAGTTGTCGTGAGTTTTCATCCCAAACGCTCCGTTCACAGGCCGACTGGTCTCAAAACATAGTAAAACCTAGAAATTGGTTCGACCCCGAACCCTCTATATGAGTGTCCGGCCCCTACTTTAGGAGGGTCCATGAGCGTCTGGGATGTCCCATGTTGAAGGGTACTTGAAGTCGGGTCCAGGTATTGAATACCTAGACTTCTATCCTTTGGCTGGTTTCAAAGATGAAAAGGCATCAATGATGTCCAGTTGGAAGATCTATGTATGTCTACATTCACCCCTCGTCAACCATCCCATCGGATCGGTCAATAGGCCAGTCCCATTGGTCGGTCGCAGGTTGTGTCTGGAGTTGCCGACTGTTCTTAGCTGACTCCTTCAGTTTTCCTGGAACATAATTGTGCAGTAAATGCTTATGTTAATCACATTCAGTTTCCACCAGTTCATGTTTAATGGGGAAACCAATGCCCCCCAAAAAGGGTTAAAGTCTATCCACTGACTGACTGGGCTAGACCTATGGTTGACCTCTTCCAAGGTAAACATATAGTATACCCTGCAACCTCGTGGTGGCTTTTTTTGTTCTGTGACTCCACAATATGTTTTTCACGCCGCAAATCGAAGAAAAGCACTCTGAGAATATATGGATCGTTCCAACGCTTCGCTCTCTTTCGGCGCTGTCGAATCACACGGATCCATACGGTCCGACCAGTCGACGCAGTCGCGCGACCGCAGTCGTGCGAAAGCGACCGCAGTCGACCGCATTTCGTCGACGAGACCAGCAGTAGTTTGACTGGTGCGACTCTGTAAGGAATCAGGGTGGCTCGATCCTGAGGGATCTACTGGCGTGGTGACTGGAAACCCTCCTTCCCTACTTGCGAGTCACACGAGTCTGGGTCTGCAGTCTTTAGTCCTCCCACACCAAGCCACCAAAAACACCCAGCCCACCATACAAGGCGTGTGGGTGTGTGGCGTGGAGCGGTGAGAAAGGAAAAGAACAAATTGTCTTCTAGTCGTGGTCAAATGGCCTTGACATGTTGCACCCTGCCACTGTTCAAAGCTGCCACTCGACATGTTCTGCAGGGAATGTTGAACACCAAAGCATCCTACAACTCCAGTGGTGCGAGGGCAGGTGCAGGTACTTTATTTGGGGCCCTGACCTTTGCTCTAATATGCACCTGAGTTGGATTCCTTAGTGTTGAAACTCAAACAAAATAACATTCTAAAATAGTCTATAAGATAGTAGGGCACCAACGACCATTGATTCATGAAGCCATCAAAAGAAGCGTTTGTTTTATCTGCGGTTGCCCCCCACACCAAACAGTTGCTATCCACCAAGCTATCGCTGACATGGTTGGTTTTCGACGTGACGTTCAACTTGGGAGCTCCCAGACTCCCAAACTCACAGCGAGGTGGTATCATTCGACCCTAAGAATCCTAGCTCAGGCCCGACCGGACCCGGGGTCGGACGTTGACACCGACAGCTAGCGATTCCGGAACCAATATCGAAGCTCAGCTTTATATTTGAGGGCCCGGACTCTCAGGGTAGCACAAATGGGTTTTTAAACATGGTTGACTCAAAAAGGAGCTCGGCCTCCCAGCATCTCAGCGATCCAACAACGGGGATGGTGGTCGCGGTTGCCCAAAACACGGGCTCAGCCGACCGGCTCTCGGAATGGATTCTGGAGACCACTGGATCGCATGACCTACTAGCCCTAGGGCTCCAACCATATCCTCAGAAGGTGGTTGGACCCCCCTGGCACCCTCCCCAACCACCTTCTCAAGAGGTGGTTGGAGCCCTACGGTAGTGAAGCAAAATACGAAACCAACTAACTCCGGTTGCCCATGTATACAGATCTATAGTGAGCTGGGGCTTAAAAATGTCTTCTCGTTGACCCCAACTTCGGAAGGTTTTGTTTTGGTTTTGGTTGTTTTATGTTCTCTGAGATCAACAAGATCTCGAGGTCGTCCAACTACACCGGTTGTCAGAGCCATCACGCCTGCAAGAACTCCTGGTGCTTCTCCGAGTCTTGGAAAAAGGCGAGGTAGGTCAGCGTCTTCTCAAGGTGATGTTCCAACACCACTCCTGCCGTCGACACCCGATCCGACCGCCGCCCCGACTCATAGTATGACGCGCCGAGGGACGCGGGGAGAGCGAGCCATTTTTTGGAGCTTCGAAGCAATCCGTATGACCTGAACATAACATCTCAACTCAGGTGTCATGGATGAAGTAAGCAATCTGATTCTGATCTGAAATGGCAGACCTTTTCTAACCTGCGCTTCAAGGCGCTTCAAGCTCAAATCGATCCCACCGCTGCAGGCACTACGCTGCTCATGGGGGTGTGTCCCTTCACGCCCACGGTCGTCATCCAGCTCTGGTCGTCCATGCACTCACCTGGTATCCCAAGTCGTTTCCTTTCCATGGAACATACTGGAATATACTATACTGGACATACCTGGACCTTCAAGGGGTGTCCAATTGGAGATCAGTGTAAACAGGAGGGGCTTCGAATTAAGGTGATCCCGAATTTCGGTGCCGGTGCTGGTCGTATAAGCTCAATGTCCACCTCCAGGACCTTCAGTTCGTGACCGTCCGAGATCCCAGGATTTTCGGTCAGGAACCCAGGCCTGGACTGAGACTGTTCGGTCCCACAAAGAGAGACACCAATGCGAGGGTCGCGAACGACAGTTCCCGGCTGTTCGTGGTAAGTGGGGAAGCCGATGTTTCTGTCGTTTCTATCAAACAAGATCGCCAGCAGGTGATAAGAAAGAGAACGAAAGCGCGTGGGATAGGCCCCTGCTTCTTCTTCTAGAGGAAACCCACGCACACGCACCTTCCAGCGTCTTCAAGGCCGTTGAGAAGTTCTTGAAGCCCCACCTCAGATCTGTTCCAAGCGTCCAAACCCAGCACCAAGACCTTCGGTTTCGGTTCTGTACCAGCGCAAGGGTCGGTCTTGAGGGGCCCGAATGGGGGCCTCGGGGCCTCAGGCGGCTGTGAAGGGCGTAACGAAACAAAAGAGAACGGTTTTTGTTGTTGCGATCCGGGAAGTGGATGGAAGACGGCTCGATTTCGGATGATCTTCCAAAAGGCCATTTGGCAGGTGGAGTTTCACCTCCACTTGCACGAGAAAAAGGAAGTGAACCAAATGGGTCAGACTATGTCCATCAAAATCCGAGACCCGGTACTTCCCAAAGCGAGACACAAGCTTCCGGAATCGGACTGGAACAACTGTCGACTAAGACCTGTCTAGTCGACCAAGGGGCGCCCGTTGGTGTTCAACTCCACAAATATGAGTCAGTGGGATCAAATCATCAACCCTAGGGCTCCAGTCGCACCTTCGTTTCGAAGGTGGGACTGGGGTGGGTGCCAGGAGGGTCCAGTCATGCCTTCTGAGGAGGTACGCCAGGAGCCCTAGGGCAAGTAAAGGTTCAAAAGAAACACGTACAGCCCATGACTCATGACTGAATTCGACACTTGCGCAAGTTCCGCACATTCAGCATGAAGAAACAGACTCCACTGGCATGGACATTTATGCCACTCAGGAAAACAGGTTTTGAAGAAATGCCGCGATTGTTTCAGGGTTGCGGCATGTTTCTAGGATTGCGGCATTTGATTACGACGGCGGAAATATATACGCTGCAAACCGAAGACACACCGATCACACAGTCAACGGCGCGGGTATTTTTGTTCACCGAAGACGCAGGAATTCGACCGCGGGTGTGCAGGAATTCTTCTAAACAGACTTGGATGGATGGGAATGATTTGCCTGATTGCTTGGGGTTTCGGGGACCGGACCTGGACCCCATTTTTTCCGAGGCACCTGGCAGTTGGGTCCGGTGGTTTCGTTTCTTCTGGCTATATGCATGGCCTTCCATGTATGCGTTCGTCGGCGCGGAGTGACACAGCTGGGCACCCCCAGCTTGGTGGTATTCAGCTTCGTCCCTGGATGCCGCTTCTGCCAGGCGTCCTGGGACGCAGCGTCCACCCACACGGCCGGGGAGAAGAGAGAGGGCGTCGAGGGCCGCCATCAATGGGATTTCTCAAAGTGAGGACACAGCTGGGAAGGGTGTGGGATCAGTGTGGAGGATCCCGCGCGAACACAATTTGTAGGGCCTTAGGGCTCCTGGCGTACCTCCTCAGAACGTATTTGGACCCTCTAAACCCACCCCAAACACCTTCTTAGAAGGTACTTGGAGCCCTAGGCAATAAGAAGCTAGCTGTTGGTGTCATGGCGAACAGCCACTGATCCCATGAAGCCGTCTCTGATCCACCATTTAAGGCAACTAAGGTGTGGACGGTCAGGGTAGTCAGGGTGAAACTCGAGTGAGGCAACAACTATACTCCAAATTCAACGACCGATATTATATGTGGCTGCTGGAACAAGAAAGCATAACACACACGGCACCTCTGCAGGTAAACACATGGCACCTGCCTTCCTTGTTCTTTTGCTCGGCCAAGTTGTTTTTTCCCATCTGTCCATACTCCAAGTGACCAAGTGACACCCTCGGTTCGGATTGTTTTCCTGGGAAGATCCCATCAACAAACCCATCAACAAACCCTTTATTGTTTTCGTCACGGCACCCAGGCACTTGCCTGAGCTCCTGAATCCCACTGGTTATCTGAATCCTCCCAATTTATGGGCCAAAAACAAGGTCTTTCTCAAGCCTGTTGCGAACACACATCGCATTCTCTAATATTCCTTTGTTGCGACCATCCCGCCTTGATGGTACTGATGTTCTTGCCCTCATAGGCCTCCCGGGCGTCGAACCGCGGGCCACCCGGATCTTCCGACGGTGAACCATCAATACCAGGACCATCCTGTCGGGGTGTCCTGGCTGGACTACCCCACACGGATCCGGCCGTTCGGCTTCCAGACAGGGCACCCCGACAGGATGGTCCAGGTACTCAATCATCTAAGAAAGGATCCCTTAAAGGCACACATGTTGCATCCGAAGATGCAGGTTGGGCCCGAGACGCCATGAACAGGTGCCCATCTTTTTTGCACTGCCATGGGAAGCCGACTTGGAAAAGGGATCCAGCTTGGTGATCAAAGTGCCCACTTTCAGATCCCCTTTCGCCCACCGTTTCGCTGGGACTGGGGTGGGTGGGTGGGTCTTGGGGGTCGATTCACCGGTCAGATGCGACGTTCGGAACCGTATAGGGCTCCAACTGCCTGTGGGTGCGGCCTAACCACCGAACCTGAGGATATGGGCCAGGAGCCCTAGGAAATGAGTATGCAAAAGCACTCGCTATAGATGTTTACCCAACTTGAACTCATGCGCCGTTCGTTCGTTCGGGTGCCCAGCGGACTTGCTGGTCTTGGGGTTCTTGTCCCAGCCATCGTGAAACCACGCCTCCGATCGTCCGGTTCCTGAGGTCCACTGAAAAAGGGCGCACACCCGACGTGACCGGCTGCAGGCGCTCAACCCTTTTGGCGCCTCCTGGAGAAGATTTCGAAGGTCCTCCTGACAGATTTCGAGTTCCACGGCACTCATAGACGGACCAAGCCGCGGTCGAGACCGGTCGACGCACGGTCCTTGATGTCGCTTGGGAGCTCGAATTGGAACCTCCGGCGAGCTGGCGAGCTTGGAACCTCCGTGTCGCCTTTTTCTCGAGCGCTGGGGGATTCTGTGGAGTTGGTTGTTGCTTCAAGTCACCAAGTAAGATGAAGGCATGTACGTATGATATTGATTCATAAATGAGTGTATAGTAATATGATGTTACTTGTGTGTATTGTTCAAAAATTAACTGACAATTCACACTGTATGATTCAATCGTAGATCCGTAGACATTGGAATGACACATCAAAATCAAACACTGTCTCACAGTTGTCTGTTCCAGTTGCAACCACCCAAATAACCTGGTGTGTACAATGTACAATCTCTTGGGCACTCAAGCTCATTCTATTGCATGTTGGCAACATAACAACCAAACTTCTCCCTTTGTATCTCAAACGGTCAGCACATCTTCAGAACACATGCTACTTTTGTCTGCAAATGTATTTGCTAAGTTAAACGCATTCGACATTTGATTGACACTCTGAGCTGCTTGTCTGTTGAAGCCTATTTCATACCATGTCGTACCATTCTTTATCACAACACTGATGTCACTAGTATGGAACAACAAACAACATTTCAATGTTTTTGTTCAACTGTTGATTTGAAAACAAATACTACTTTGTCAACAAATGCGAATTTGCTACGCACTTTGCCTTGAGTATATAGATTCCTTGGGAAGCAAACATAGGTCGTTCCACCCGCGAGGTTCGCAAGAGAAATTAACTATAGACTCTAGACATCTCTAGACTATAAATGGTTGTTCAGCATCATGCATCAAAGTGACGCGGTGATGACTGGTGGTGGTTAATCTAGAAAATCTTGATCATACTCAACCCGGCATGCATCCCATTCCTAGTAAGTATAAGTCATCAAATTTAAACAAAACACACAAAATAGTGAAAGCATCATAAAATTAATTGGGGAATGTTGAGGTCTGATTCAAGGCTCTCAAGATATGTATCCATGATTTATTCAAGGTTCCGGACGGCTCCATAGAGCTAACGGGACGTGAACAAAAGGCTTGGTCGGTATGGTGTCAGATTACACCCAACAGCGAAGAAGAAGGTGGGTAATGTGTTCGACAATGTTATGCAGGTGCCAGAAGGGTCCAGTCGTACCTTCTGAGAATGTACTCCCTAGGAAATTCCAAACGACTTGAGGTGCCTTGCAGCTGTCATGCCTTGCACTACAGCTGAATCCATGCGAATCAGCTGCTCTTCACAATCCCCAGAACATTCTGTCGGATATGCAGACGTGTCTCACGTCATGGCATATCCCTGGAGTCCAGTCAACTCTATTAATAAACATGGTCTGACTAGACTTCAGGAATGCCTGTCACTGTCATAGAGCAGAATGTCACTGTCGTAGAGCAGAACCAACTTAGTTGAGGACTGGACTCTTAGGTTTTTTAAAAGACCGATTTGACTAACCGTCTTTTTCAAATACCACGCCATTCTTTTACAACATGTACAGGCAAGGGATCCCATTTCAAAAATATACTTCCCGACAATCGCCAAAAGAGCGTTTACAGTCAATCCCAAAAAGACGTTGACTCTCAAAATGGGAGAATTGCAGAAACAACAAAAACATCTGAACAAACGGCAAAGGTACCGTTTACACTGCTAAGGACAGTGCTGCCTACATGATCGCCGGACCAGGAACTTCTATCTCTTCCCTCGCCCCCGTCCGGGACGCCCGTTCGTCGCGCTCGATCCGCCACCCGGTCACCCGTTCCGAGCGGCTTCTCGCTGGAGATGGGCGCCACGCGCATGACCCGTCCGTGGAGCTCGATCTTGTCGCACCTGGAAGGACGAGGACGATGTCCAACGGGTACAGAAGAACACCAGTTCAACATCAAACAAGGTGCATGGTGTCAATCAACTCTATACCATCAAAGAGGTTCCTCCTCCAAGGCACGTCTCCAACTGTTTCGGAGAGTCATGGATAAGCATCAACAATGCTTGTAGTTGCTAAGATTTGCTAAGCCTTTAAGAAGGAGTTTGATAAATATCGACTAAAATCGAAACCCAAGTTTGAAAGGGTTTTGATAAGAGTTTGATAGTTTAACAAACACTATTTGACCAAACCCAAGTTCTTTTTCGGAGAGTTCTGGACCACGGGACTTTGCATGGGCCAACACGGGGCCACACGTGGCAAGCCCAATGACATGTGGGTTTGCACTGTACACTCTGACAAACATCACATGGAAGTGGAACATGGCCGCTTGGAAGACTCCTTTCCTATCCTTTCCTGCACAATGAAGGAAGCTTTTCCACTTCCATAGTAGTCCATATCTGTTTCCTACGTTTCCTATTGTGTGGTTCTAATTTGGTCTTTCATATATTTAGTACTGCGTGTTTCCGATTGTTTTGCACACTTTCTCATTTTGATCGCGCCAAGTGGAAGCTCAACTTCCTCAAGAAAACATAGAAGAACGAGACCCCCAAAGCAATGGGTGTAGCTCTACATATACTCTTCCAGGGTTGTCTTTGCGGGATCTCAGCCACTTATGTGCCAGGACATGTTCCGCAGCAAAGTTTGATGCTCGGCCGAAACCTACAGTGGAGACCTTCTCCTAACAATCCTTCTCCTAACCAGTGGAGACTTTTGGAGGGGTGGCCAAAGTGCAATTAGTAAAATACGCCTTCCTCCCAAAAAAGTAGTCCTTGAGTGAGTGGATCATGGGCACCCTTGCCCTGTAGGCACCTCTTTATCGATTTGGGTGGCAATGCTGGTGCAGTGGTTTGAGAATACCGAAGACCAAAATGATGAAATCACACGACGCGGAGGCAAAACACTGAGATCGTCTCCACCCAAAAATCAGCGGAAGTCAACAGAGTCACCTTCATCACATCTTGAGTCACATCTTCTCATCGCATTCTCTGAATCCCATACAGGCTCCAGTCGTACCGTATCGTTTCGCTTCGGTGAGACTGGGGTGGGTGGGACTGGAGGGTCCAGTCATACCGAACCTGAGGAGGTACGCGTCACCACCACAGACTTCATCCGTATGGAGCGCGACGCCACGAATTCGTCGTCACAGTGGATGCCAAGAGAGGTTGAGAGACCTGAACTACGACCCTGTAGTGGTACATATGGGATGCGCGAAAAAGGGCTGTTCAACCTCTCTAGGTACATCGTCAAGAGTAGACATGTCGATCTTCGAAAAAAAATGGTGAAGACTCCTCGAACGTATTCAATCGTTCATCTTTCCTTCATCGTTCGCCATCTGTCTCATGCGACCTCGTCGCTATCTTCAGAAATTGGCTTCTGAACTGCACTGTATTGACATTTCAGAGCAAGAGCAACGCCGTACACGCAGTGTTGATGGGTCAACTTGAGACCAGTGTTGTTGATATACTTTCTGCCAAATCATCATGGTGATGATCAATGAGTCAAGGGCCATAGCCATAGCCCAAACAAAACGGCTCTTCTCTGCTCACGCGTTGTCGCGCTATTCGTCTCGTATGGAGGCGTCATGAGCGATGGTCCAAACGGTAGTAAAGCTTGGTCTGGTCGCCGAATGGCTTTGAATAATCCAAGCGCCATGTTGTTACCCTTGCATGAACCCGTGTCCTGCTCAGCAAATTTACACATTCTCGGGTCATGACCATATTTTCAATCCTCACCCTGCGCTGTTCGAGAGCGAAGTGAAGCTCTCATCGTCCTTAAATGGGGGGAACCGACAAATTGGAAGCTCTTGATTCAGACCATCAATCAAACACTGCCTTTTCTCAAGGTTGAACCCAGACCGGGTCCATTCATTCATCACATCGTCGACAATATATTCGGAAAGAGACGTTGCTCTCGGATGATGCGCAAAGCGTTGCAATCGATAAGACAAACAACGGTCCTCCAAAAGGGCCAGGGGTGCTTACAAGAGTGCCCTACACATTCCTACAAGAGTTTCCCTCAAGAATCTGCTACACGAGTGTCTTATATGCGTTATAAGAGTCCGACAAGGGTGTCCCAACGAGAATGGGTGACAAGGGTGTCCCACAAGAGTGTCCAACAAGAATGCCTTACAAGAGTGTCCCATAAGGGTGTCCCATCACCGTGTCCCTGCAAGAGCGTAGTACAAGAGTGTCCAACAGGTATATACTGAGATTATCCACATCTGCTTGATCTTGGCCATTCTGATCATCATTCTTATTTGACACCACCAGTATCATCATCATCATCATCATCATCATCATCATCATCATCATCATCATCATC